AAAATATGAATGAATTTGTCTTGTCACATATTTTAACACAAATATCCTAGTTTCTATCAATCTTTAAGTGACTAAGATTTATGCCTTCTTTATTCTGTTTGTGTTTTCAGGGATCAGCAGAGGCTGTAGTCTGTATTTTCATTTTTGAGAAATTTGAACAAGTAAATATTTTTACGCAAAAAGAGAATCAGATTTTATCAAATAATTCATTTAACTATTGTATACTCCTCAATGTAATGTTTATGAGTGACTATTGTTGAGTTTATTTATGTTGTTTTTTGATATTATATTTTGGTGAATTTTTTAGAAGGAAAAATTCAAAGAGAAGAAATCATCAAGTGAAAGAACCATCTGGAAACATTATTCCCATGGAAACAGGTGAGTATATAATGACATAGAAAGGATGAGGGTAGTTCCAAAAAAATCTTCTGGCAACTGATGTTTTGGTAGAAAATGAGAAAATATATGCAATGGATAATTAAGTTGACCAATCACTGTTTGACATATGTGTTTAAAATGTTATTAAAACTTAAAAACTGACTTTTAACAAGAGAGACCCTGACTTCCAGAGAGAGAAGGACACTTCCTACCAATTACACATTTTAAAATGTTGTATAAAATGTAAATGAGAAGATTGTTGAGAGAAATGAGAGTTGCTCCAAAGTTCTTGCTCAATCCATTTCCAAGATCTGATAAAATGAACAAAACATTGATTTTTTAAGTGCTTTCATGTCTCCTTTCTAGTTTTAAGAAAAGGTAAGTAATAACTGTGAAATACATGAAAAGATGATGACATTAGAAAACAAAGCAGGAAAAAGTAAAATGGATTTACAAAGATTGTCATTCATTCTTTCATTGAAATCATAACCTTTTCTTTTTCTTTTTTATGCACCAAAACTTTAAGTCATTTGGTGATGATGATGTGAATAAACAATGAAATGTTATCAAAAGATCATATTAAGGATTTTCATAATAATTATCTCCCTTTTCTTTTAAAAATGTGTATATAACAAGTTTGTGTTAATTTTATATTTTTTAAAAGAATCAATTAAAAATGAGTGTAAAATCTGATGGAATTCATTTACTAATTCATTAATAAAGTAAAGTTTTGAATTCAATTACTTGCATCACTTTAAAGTTTTGTTGATTTTTATATTATTTATAAAACATCACTAAAACAAGCTCTTTGAGTTGTAATCTTCAAGATATGCATTTATGGATTTAACATCAAAATTATCTAAATATGACAAAAGGCAATAATAAATATTTGAATTATTCTCTCATTTATTTCATTTATTTTCCATACCAAATATTTGTACTTGTAAAGAAAATTCTATAAGTCAATGTACAAATTTTTAAAAAATACACTTTTCTGTCTACAGGCATTTTACAAGAGACCAATCCAGAAATCCTCAGAGAAGGATATATTCAGGCTGAAAATGTTTACCAAAACGTGGTTGTATTGACAAAAGACAATTTCTTGTCTTATGTTCAGCAAAAGAAAATGGAAGAAGATCCATTTTCAGATGATTTTTTGGTATGTAATTGTTGTAATGATGTGCATACACACACACACACACATATATATATAAAGGCACCTGTAAAGATTCACAAAAAATGAGCATGTATTATGAAAAAATACCCCAAACCTAATAAAAACAAAATTTTATCATCAAAATCTTAGTGTTGTTATTAAGAGGAAAGACCAATGTAGTTTTTTTATTTAAAAGTTATGTTCTTGATCCTTTTTAGAACCTTTGAAATTTTGGTTAAAAATGTTGTTTTTCTTGTGACAATGTGGGACCCTAAAATTGTTCCGAAAATTTGAGGGTTTTATGTTGATTTTGAAATTCTTGCTAAAATCAGATAATCATCAGATTTTAAATTTGTAGAACTTGTTCACAAATGAGCAAAATTATTTTTTAAATATTTCCTTTTTAAAAAATCTTAAAATATTTTTCATTCACATCAGTCACCTCCCACTTGTTTAATTTTATGAAATTTAAAGAAATTCTTTTTCTCATGATTTCAAGCTCCTTCCACTTAATTTAAATTAGTTTTGAAATACAGCAAAGTATTTTGCTTTTTAGAATTATTAAATTTAATCTATTATGGTAAAATTAAAACTAAAATGAAAGCTTCAAGAAAGATTTTACATTTAAAAAAATGATTTTAAACATGAAGTATCATGTGTTTCTGTGGAAGCACCAAGTTTTAACTTTATTGTAACTATAAATGTCAACAGCAGGAATTGGCAAAAATGAGAGCAAAATTTATTTTTTGTCATTTGACAGACAGACAGCAAACCTATTGGTCGCTTCTGTTTTCATGCTTTTCTTCTTCTCTCCATATGTTCTCTTTCTTCTCTCTCTCTCTCTATATATTATATATATATATATATATATATATAATGTAATGGACTGAGTTCACAAAATATTTTAATTTTTTTATAGATACAATTAAGTAAATGCTCTGTTTATAATAAACAGTATTAATTACA